CCCCATCGTCCCCTCCTCCTCCTCTTCTCATCATACCAGGGATGCAGACAGCCTGGGGACAGGAGGAGGAGTACCCTGAGGGAGAGAGTGAGGGAGCATAGGGAGGGAGTAGAGGGATGGATATAGGGAGGACTTGCAGAAATGGTTTGATGTAGTTGGGATGTTTATTGTAGTTTAAACACACACACACACACACACACACACACAGGGGGGTATAGTTAAGGTTGACCTCTGAGAGTGTGTACACTTTTACAACCCTAATGCTTGACCGTCACCACCGCCCTCCCTCCTCCTTCCTTCCTTCCTTCCTTCCTTCCTTCCTTCCTTCCTCCCTCCTCCCTAGATAGATTCATGGATGAGGAGGAGTGAACCTCGACAGGAGCTGCGCACAGGCCAACCGGCCTACAGACTCCTTATGTTCTTATGTTCTCCCTCCTTCCTTCCTCCTCCCTCCTTCCCTCCCTCCCTCCTCCCTCCCTCTCCTTCATTGGGTTAGGATTTTCGGCCTCCAGGAAAATTGTTTCTTTTTAGCTGATGCTGAGGGGTGGAGGGAGGAGGAGGGAGGGAGGAGGATGAGAAAAGGAAAGGAAGGAAGGAGTGAGGGAGGGATACCGAAGGACTTAACGTACAGTAAATAATAATACTTCATTTACAAACATGAATCATAATAATACCCATCACCCAATCACACTTGACTCACTGACGGCCCCGCCCACCTCTGACCCCATGGACCAATCAGAGCCATCCTGCGCGCGCATATTGTTTACCTACCTACCTGACTCGGAAAACCAACACTTGACGTCATCTTTTCACGTCTTGGGGTCATCTCAGCTTTATTGTAGAACTCATTAATACAACCCAGAAATAGTGTTGTTGCTGCTGCTATGACGTAGTATTTGTTGTTTATGGTCTGTAGTACTTCCTTAGCAACCGGTAAGTGACGGGGCGTTCTTAAGGAGGGAAGGTGTGTGTGTGTGTGTGTTTTACTGGTTCTGTCCCTTTTCTGTTTCTTCATCTCATCTCCTCCTCCTCCTCCTCCTCCTCCTCCTCCTCCTCCTCCTCCTCCTCCTCCATGCCCTGTCCCGTCACCAATGATAGTAATGACAATGATCTATATATACCCCCCACCCCCCACCCCCACCCCCACTCCCCCACTGTCACCATAGGCTTCCTCCTCCTCCCTCTCCACCTTGATAATAATAGTAATGATATGTAAAATAATGACACATTTACTACTACTACCACCACACCACACGCCTGCAGCACCTCCCCAGCAGCAATAGAGCAGAGAGAGAGAGAGAGAGAGAGAGAGAGAGAGAGAGAGAGAGAGAGAGAGAGAGAGAGAGAGAGAGGAGAGCTGACGCAGTAGTAAATTACTGAGGCGGGTGGGCAGCGCAGTAATTAAAATAAAAGTATATAAAAGAAAAAAGACTGGAGGAAACTTTACAGGAGCCCCTCCATCACCTCCACGCCTCCCTGACGCCCTGGTAGTAGTCACACGAGGTCGGATCGCCTGCGCCGGTGACTACTACAGGCAGGTGGTGGTGACAGAGCGGACCACGGCACCGTAGGGGCTGACCTCACCTAACCTACCCAGACCTAACCTAATCCCACTCCAGACCTAACCTAATCTACCCTAATGTAATCCACTCAACGTAATCTCTAACCTAACCTCTCTCTCTCTCTCTTTTGCATGGTAGGTCACCTGAGGTCACCAGCGTGTCAGAGTTCATAATGGGGGGGGAGTGTGCCGTGGTGCCTCGGGTCATCAGTGCCTTTATAAACACGCGCGTCTGATTAGTGTGTGTGTGTGTGTGTGTGTGTCCGGTTTCATACACCCATGCATCACGCCACGCTACACACACACACACACACACACTACAGTTCATGCTAGGTGATATATTTGGCCTGAGGAGGTGGGCGTGGCCGACACTGTTTGGATAATGTGAGGGGCGTGGCTTAATTATTTAACGAGGGTGTAGTGTGCGTGGTGAGTGGCAGTCGCTGGCTGGTGCGTGAGGGAGTAACACACGCACTCTAGTATACCCCTTATGGAGAGTTTTCCCTTCCATACCTGTGTAGAGTCTCAGGTGCATTTCTGACGCCATTTTGTATCACATAGGTTAGGGTAATGTGTTTGGACGCTTACAGAGTGATTGAGGATTACTATGTATGTATGTATGTATGTATGTATGTATGTATTCTCTCACTCGAGTCTCCAGCACGTAGACCCCACTTAATATTTCCGTGTTGTATTATGTGTGCTGAGGAAGGGAGAGGAGGGAGGACTCGTTTAGGGGTGAAGGGTGATTGGGGGGGGGGAGATATCTTCCTTCCTTCAATCGTTCTTGTTTTTAAGTCATTCGATTTATTCTTTCTTATTTCCAGCTTTTATTCGAATGTTTCTCTTGTTCTATCCTTCTTATTCTTCCTTTTCGTTGCCGTGTTCCTCCTTCCTCCTCTTTTTCCTCCTCTTCCTTCTATCTATCTTTCTTCTCCTTCTTTCCATCTCACTCCCTCCCACCCCCCCTTCTCCTCCTTCTCCTTTCATCTTTCCCCACTCCCTTCCTTATCCTTGCTCCTCTCCCTTCATCTCTCTCTCCCTTCCTCTTTCCGTCTTTTCTCCCTCCTTCCGTCCTTACATCTCCTCCTCTTCCGCTTTGATCTGTCAGACACCTGCTGGCCTTTCCTTCCACTCCCTCCAGTGCACTCAATCTTAACCAACACCACACACCAATACACTACAACACCAACACCACCCACCACAACACCACACCACACCACAACACCACACCACCAACACCACAACACCCCATCACACACCACCAACACCACAACACCCATTAACACCACACCACTATCACCAACACACCATTACCCTCGTCAGTCCCCACGCCTCCTCCTCCCTCCTGCACGAGGCTACTCACCGGACGTCCACTCTGTCCATGTTGGTTCAATTTCATCCTGGGAGCTGTAATAAGGATGTGTGTGTGTGTGTGTTTGTGTGTGTTGATGGGCAAGGTCAAGGCCTCTACAGTACCACAGGGACCTTGGTGTCCTCCCTGCTGACTTGGTAGGTGGAAGGGGGGGTAGTGGGAAGGGGGTAGTGGTGTGGGAAGGTGGTAGTGGGAAGGGGGTGGGGGAAGGTGGTAATGGTGTGGGAAGGGGGGGTGGTGGGAAGGGGGGTATGGTGTGGGAAGGGGGTAGGTGGAAAGGGTGGGGGGGCGTATGGGAAGGAAGGATGATATAGTGAAAAGAACATTCTCTAACACGTATTTAAAAACATCACACCATAACAAAACACCTTTATAATGGCGTGAGTTACCTAGAGGGCGTGAGTTACCTAGAGGGCGTGAGTTACCTAGAGGGCGTGAGTTACCTAGAGGGCGTGAGTTACCTTTAAATGACCCTTCCCAATAATGTATCTCTCCAGCTTTTGTTTATGTTATTGTTGTTGTTATTGTTGCATATGTTGTTGTTGTTGTTGAATTTGTGAAGCAATTTTTTGTGTGAAGGTATTGTGGTGGTGTATTGTGGGGGTAGGGAGGGGGCTGAGTGGTGTTATTGGCTGTTCTAAGGAGGGGGAGGTTGTGTACTCATGTTGTGTATTGATCCGCCCAACTAACTGATCCTCTTGTCTGACTCAAATGTGTAATGACTTATGGGACCCCGGCGATTGGCTATAGTGCACACACACACACACACACACACACTCACACACTCACTCACTCACTCACTCTCCCCAATGCACTAGAGGTTAAAATAGACGACACCTGTAGGTTATGAGAGGCAGGTAGGGTACTGTTCTCACCTGTGCCACACCGAGTAGACAATGGCATCCTCTGCCACACACACACACACACACACACACACACACACACACACACACACAGTTGAATATTTATTGAGGTATTTTGTTTTAAATCTGCTTGTGATTTGTGGCTTGGACATCCCACCTCTCCTCCCACCTCTCCTATACCTCCTCATCCTCGAGTTTCAACATCCCCCAATAACCCCCCCTTGCCCCCCCCAACCCCTCTCACCCTCCTCCTCACCCCCCTCCCAACACCCCCTCCCCCGAATGACAATAACAAGGGTGGCATTACGATAGGTGTGGTGGCGGACTGTCAATGATGCTCCATGGCCACCACCACTACCACACCACCACTCACCACCAATCATCACCAATCACCACCACTACCATCATCTCCTTCAGCATTACCACCACCTTCACCACTACTATCTCCCCCACCACCACATCATCACCATTCTCACCTCCACCACTACCATCACCATCCCTACCACCATCAGCCTCCCCATCAACACACACACACACACACACACACACACACACTCTTAATATCAAGTCAATTTACATACTGAATCAAGTCGTCATATAAGGAAATTAAATACTTTTTTTTTACAATTGCCAAGTGTATCGTATACCAGGTGTGTCGTATACCAGGTGTGTCGTATACCAGGTGTGTCGTATACCAGGTGTGTCGTATACCAGGTGTGGGATACCAGGTGTGTCGTATACCAGGTGTGTCGTATACCAGGTGTGTCGTATACCAGGTGTGTCGTATACCAGGTGTGTCGAATACCAGGTGTGTGGGATACCTGAATTAATTACATTTCATTTAGCTAATAATTAAATGGGATATTGGAGCCTGTATAGGGAGAAATATATATTAATTATATATATATTTGGTCAATACGTCAAATGGTCTTTATATAAATTGCCGGAGGTGTTGTGTGTATTGAGGTAAACACTATTAATATATACGTTGTTATCTATTTGTTGTTGTTTACGTATTTTTAATTTTTCATTTTGTTTTAATTTTTTTTTATCAAGTCTTGTAATTCCATTTTTATCAACATCTTTTTTTTTATTGTTTATTTGTTTTTTCTTCATTTTCTTATTCCTATGTTTTATCAAGTCTTCCAATTCCATCTTTATCATGACCTTCTAATAATTCCTTCTCTTTTCTCCCCCACAGTCAAAGAGTTCCTCGAAAAGGCGAAAGAAGAGTTCGAAGAAAAATGGAAAAGTCCCGCAAAGGTGAGAGGAAAAAACACAAGATTTATTCCCTTGGTTTAATTTTAAGGAGATGGTTAGGTTAGGTTTATTCTGGTTAGGTTAGGTTAGGTTTATTCTGGTTAGGGTTGAGAATACAGTCGCTTGGTTGTGTCAGTGAGCGATTTATTTTACGTCCAGGGTTAAAAAAATACACTGGAGCTATTTATTCAGATAAAGCTTCAAAATATACACTGAGCTATTTATTCGGGTGAAGTTTAAAGACAGTGAGCTATTTATTCAGGTCATTGTGACGAGGAGAATCGCTTGGGTCGTGTCAGAGTTATTTATTCCACGAGAGGCAGAGAGGAGGAGAGCAGCATACTGTAATAAGCTCTCTCTCTCTCTCTAACCACTACCCAAATATTCAGGCCTACTGTTGGTGGTGGTGGTGGTGGTGGGCGTGGGCGTGAATGGGTTAAGAGGCGGCAAGTGTTAGTGGCAAAAGTGGGGGTGCATCTCATGAGTGGTGATAGGTGGGTGATGATTGTGGTGGTGATAGGTGGGTGATGATTGTGGGTGGGTGATGGTGGTGGTAGATGGGTGATGGTAGTGGTGGTGATAGGTGGATTATTATTATTATTATTATTTTGTTTTTTATTATTATTATTATTATTATTATTATTATTATTATTATTATTATTATTATTTTATTGATAGTTTTATTTATGGTCACTGTGGGAGTAGATAGTAATGTCCAGAATATTTTGTCCGGGAGAGATCTAGTTGTGTCCGGACAAAGTCAGCTCATGTCCTCGCATCCGTAATGGGTGAGATCTCATCCAGTCAGGTCCAGATCAGGTCCGGGAAGGGGGGTGAGGGGTGGAAGGAGAGGAATGGGAGGGCTAGGGGATGAGAGGTAAGGAAAGATGAGGGGTGAGGGAAAAGGGAGGATGAAAGAGAGGGGAAGAGGTAAAGGAGGTGTGATAAGGAGAGGAAGGCGAAGGAACCCTGAGCTGGTATCCTGACTGTGTGTGTGTGTGTGTGTGTGTGTGTGTGTGTGTGTGTGTGTGAGAGAGAGACGTAACCTACAATTAGTGTGGCCTGGCCTTGGTCTCCTCGCGTCCACTTAACGCTATTATCCACCCGGATTTGAGTCGTGGCACTGGGTGGGTGGGTGGGTGGGGTGGTGGTGGGTGGGTGGGTGAGCTAGGTTTTGATGGATGAAGGTGAGGATGGATGAGGGTGGGAGGTGACTATCGGCGTGGGTGAGGGTGGGAGGGTGAAGGTCGGGTGGGCGGGTGTCTCTCTATCTAGCTATTTTGTTCCCCCGTTTACAGAATGGGAGAGCAACACACACACGAAGGACGACGTTTGATAAAAGTTGTCTGCCTGGGTGTGTGGGTGTCCGGGTGGGGTGGGTGGTGTGTGGGTGTCCGGGTGGGTGGGAGTGGATGTTCGGGTTAGGTGGGTGATGATGATAGGTGGATTATTATTATTATTATTGTTGTTGTTTTTGTTATCATTATTATTGTTTTTGTTAGTTTTATTTATGGTCACTATGGGAGTAGATTAGGTAATGTCCAGAGTATTTTGTCGGGAGAGATCAAGATGTGTTCAGATTTAGTCCGCCTCGTCTCCTCATATCCAGATCGGGTGAGTGAGATCTTGTCCAGTCGGTATATTAAATGGGGTTGAATTAATGATGTCTTATGTAAGGTGTGTGTGTGTGTGTGTGTGTGTGTGTGTGTGTGTGTGTGTGTGTGTGTGTGTGTGTGTGTGTGTGTGTGTGTGATTATAACTAAAAATAACTTAATTCTCTCTAGTAGGATTATAATGTAAGGACTGAACCCTTCTTAAAAGCAAACAGGCAGGCGGGAAGGAAGGTTTATCAGCTGATGTTTGTTGACACGATCAGCTGATGAAGGTTGTACATATAACCACGTGTACGGCTCTCAGGGTTACCACGTGTTACATGATGATCTTGTAATAATGATAATGATGATGATGATGTAGATGTAATAGTAGTAGTGTCATTAACTGGTGATTCAGTAGCAAGTATTGGCGCACAGTTGGGTGTGAGCCCTCGACGCCTGGTCTGACTCCCACGTCCAGAATAAACCCTTGTAAGTGCGTCACCTGCCTCCCTCTTCTTCCCATCTCTCTCCTCTCCTTCTTCGTCTTTCCTCCTCCCATTTCATTTCTTCCTTCTTTCCACTTCTCCCTTTCTTTCCCTTCCCTTCACTGTCCTCCCTCCACCCCCCTAATTCTCCCTCCCCAACCTTCTCGTCTACTCACCATTCCCTCCTCTCCTCCCTTTCCTCCCCACCATTTCCTCCTCCTCTACTCCACTTAACTCCCCTTTCCCTCCATACCCGGTGAGTCAGTCCTCTCCTACTCCCATACTTAGAATTAGTCTTTCCCCTCCTCCCTCCCCACAGGATCATTAATAACACCTGTTCGTTTCTTACAGGTAATAAACCTCTCACCATATACAGTTTTTCTCCTTCCTAAACAATTTAATCATCGTAAGGTGTGTGTGTGCGTGCGTGCGTGCGTGCGTGCGTGCGTGCGTGCGTGTGTGCGTGCGCGCGCGTGCGTGTGTGTGTGTGTGTGTGCGTGCGTGCGCGCGCGCGAGCGCTTACGTAACTCAGTCAAGTGGCAACGAGCGATTGTGATGTAATAAATAATGGTGTCTTTGTTGAACACACACATACACACACACCACACACACACACACCAAACACACACACACACACACACACACACATTATTAAACTCAGGCAACGTCATACACACAAACAGGTATACAGTCTAGTGGTTTTATATCATGTTCTTATTGTGTTATCCTGCCAACCATCCCCCCCCACCCCCACAATGTTGTCAAGCGTGTGTAGGAGCGTGCCGTCCCATGCTCCCTTAGCTTACAGGAGCGTGACACCCCATGCTCCCGTATCATTAAGAGTTGTGACACACCTGGGCTAATAGGCAACTCTAGATGACCCCGAGTTTGAGACGCCTCACCTGGTTGCCATGGGAACTGAGTCAGAGGTCCCTGTCAGGTATTAGTTTAGTCAGCCCAGTGCATGACTCATGATCTGACTGGTGGATGTTTATCTTGCATGAGGGAAACCCATTAGATCTGGGGGCCCCGTTAGAACTAGGATCAAATCTGTTTCTTAGGTTAAGTGTGTGTGTGTGTGTGTGTGTGTGTGTGTGTGTGTGTGTGTGTGTGTGTGTGTGTGTGTGTGTGTGTGTGTGTGTGTGTGTGTGTGTGTGTGTGTGGTAGGTAGGTAGAAAGGTTTGTGGTGGTGGCCAAGGTGAGGGGACCAGAGTGCCACACCAACCATGAGAGAGGTAGCACTCACACACCTTGGCACTCACACATCATCCCTTCTACACTACCAACAATTCTCATCACACCTCTGGGGGGGGAGGGGAGGTTACTGCGCTCTCTCTATTTAGTATTAATACGTGTGATAGATACATACACGGAGAGAGAGAGAGAGAGAGAGAGAGAGAGAGAGAGAGAGAGAGAGAGAGAGAGAGAGTAGCATCATACTAACTTCGATACACACACATACACATAAGACAGTACATGGGTTACATACATACCCCCTGTACATACATACATACATACATACACTACCACTTTATAAACAAACAACACATTATAATCCACGATCTCTACACACTCTTAACATATCGTGCTGGGTAAAATAAATTGGATCTTATGCCTCATCGTATGTTTGTTATAATGGCCTAAATAAACTGTTTATTCTTGTATGTCTATTATAATATCTAAATAAACCCTAATATCTAACTGTGTATGTGTGTTGTTATGGGTAGGTTAAGTGAACAAACTGTAATTTTCCATGTCAAGATTCATTAATCATAATCTTCTCTCCCTCTTCTCTCCCTCCGTCTTCTCCCCCCCCTCTTCTCTCCCCATGTCAACATCCAGTAATCACCCCCCATCTCTCCCCCTACAGAACACGGCGTGCCTGGACGACTTCGAACGACTCAAAACCCTGGGCACGGGTTCCTTTGGGCGGGTGATGCTGGTCCAACACAAGGCAACCAAGGAGTATTATGCCATGAAGATACTCGATAAACAGAAGGTAATTGTGGTAGTGTGGTGTAGTGGTAGTGGTGGGGTGGTGTGATGTGGTGGTGGTATGGTGGAGTGGTAGTGGTGGGATGGTGTGATGTAGTGGTGGGTGGTGTGGTGGAGTGGTAGTAGTGGGGTGGGGTGGAGTGGTGGGTGGTGTGGTGGTTTAAAATGTCACTATATATATACATACATGTTCTCTGTCTCTTCTCTCTTCTCTTCTCTTCTCTCTCACACACGGGTATTTATACACAAGTTAAGCCTGGCAGGTAGGAGGATCATGTGTGTTGTCACTGAAGGAAAAATGTTTTGAAGATTGCAGAGTGAAGGACACAAAGATTTATATATAGTATACTGTGTTGATGAAGTAGAGGCAGTGAGGTGGGGGTAAGTTGGGGTGATGTAGAGGCAGTGGAGGGGGTGTTAGTGATTGAGGTAGGGGTGTTGGGGAGATGTAGAGGCAGGAGGAAAGAGATGTAGAGGCAGGGAGGGGGGTGATGGGAGGCAGGAGGGAGAGTTGGGGTGATGTAGAAAGAGGGGAGTGTTGGGTGATGTAGAGGCAGTGAGGGGGTGTTGGGGGGTGATGTAGATGCAGTGAGGGAGGTTGGGGGTGATGTAGAGGCAGGAGGGGGGTGTTGGGGGGTGATGTAGAGGCAGGAGGGGGGTGCTAGGGGTGATAGGCAGTGAGGGAGGTTGGGGGTGATGTAGATAGCAGGAGGGGAGCAAGGGGGGGTGATGTGAGAGGCAGTGAAGGAGGTTGGGGTGATAGAAAGGCAGTGAAGGAGTAGTTAGTATGGAGGCAGTAAGGGAGTGTGGGGGTGATGTAGAGGCAGTGAGGGTGAGTTGGGGTGATGTAGAGGTGAGGGAGTGCTGGGGTGATGTAGAGGCAGTGAGGGAGAGTTGGGGGTGATGTAGAGGCAGTGGAGGAGTTTTTTATGTAAGTAAAATAATTTCAATAATTTTTATTAAGTTTTACTAAAGTAGAAATGATTTAGTTTATATTTAAAGTATAAATTCTGTTGCAGTTTTTCTTAAGTCTATTAAAGTAGGAATTAAAGTAGAAGCGATACAGTAGTAGTGCAAGAGAGTAGAAATAACAGTACTAGTTGCTATTAAAAGTTAAATAGCTTAAAGGACATCTTACCCTAGTCTGAAAATTTATGTTACTTGGATTTTTTTTAACATAATATACAAACTCCACTGTGTCACTCACCTAACCAAAATGGCGACGAGATTCTATTGACTCTACTGGAGATAATTATTTGTTGATTGATGTTACCTGTGTGTGTAGAGGCAGGAACACAGAATACGGAACTAGTGGCTCCTGAACCCCCGCTGGCTGGATCTCTCTGTGTCGATCAGTGTGTGTCGGATGTGGTGGTCGCCAAACAGCTGATCAATATTGACTTATTCATAAACATTTCTGGGTTACTTTTTTGTTAATATGTAACTAAATTAACCTCTGGGAATTTTTAACATTTATTATGAGTATTTTATCTGCCTATGACGGGGTTAATAGTGGTGTATCCAGGAAGTTAAGATTGTATTGGCGTTCGTGTAGGCGGGAAGGAGTGTGTCGGCCGTGACGTCAGCGGGGCTCTTTTTTGTTTGTGTGTGTGTGACGTCAGAATACAGTATATTTCATTCATGATGTAGGTGGCATTTGTGGCCATGTTATAGCTATTGATAGTTAAAGGTTGTTTGTGCCGCCCCCCAATAATAACAATAACATCAAGAGGCCTCGAGAGTAAATCAGGAATTGAGCCTCTCCTATATGCCAGCCGCCATTGTTCTAGTTCCGGGTTATATTTCGCAATTAAGGAAATGAATGATTCACTCGATCGGAAACAAGAGTGATTAAAGAGTCGGTCATGAAGTCGGGTCTGGTCGGTGTGGTCGTGGATCATTGAGGAAAAAATATAAAATTCTTGGTGATTTTTTTTGGTTGGTGAAAGGGTCAAGGATTTTGGGTATTGATAAGGAAGTGTTTAACTCTCTCTCTCTCTCTCTCTCTCTCTCTCTCTCTCTCTCTCTCTCTCTCTCTGGCCAGTTCGTTGACATAGAACAGACACATGGGCCGTTTACGTGGAATAGAGGTCAATACTTGTTTACACGCGACAGTAAAGGTCATGATAGTTTGTTTACAAGGAGTAGTGACCAAGGATTGTTTTGTTTACATGACACGAGGAGGAGAAGAAGAGGGGGAGGAGGAAGACGAGGAGGTGTAATATTGTGTGGAAACTTCATCTAGGAGAGGGTCACACACACACACGCACACACAGGGGGGGGGGATTCCACACCCATAAAACGACAGGTAGAATGTCTTAGCCCAGGTAGGTCGGTGCCTTAATTAAGTAACACCTGTACCTCAATCTGCTACTGTGCGAGTTGGCTGTGGTGGCGTGCTGGTGGTGGTGAAGGGGTGTTGTGGTGGTGAAAGGATAGTGTGGTGGTGGAGGGTCTGGGATTATGGTGATGGTGAAAGGGGATTCTGTTGTCACCTACCCACCTCCACGCTACTTTGCCCTAAGACACAAGACTCTCATTTGCATATTATATTTACCCCTGGCCTTTTGGAGTCAATCTTGGAATACACTCTGGCGGGGAGGTGGATTTTGCCATGAAAAAATATTATTATTATTATTATTATTATTATTATTATTATTATTATAAGTATATATCTAATTATGATGATATAGGTAAAGGTGATAATAATAATAATAATAATAATAATAATATTAATAATAATAATAATAATAATAAGATTCAGGTGTTTCTAGTAATGTCTTATAAATCGAGTCTTTTTTTTAAGGTATTTCAGGTAAAGTCTTATAAATCGAGTCTTTTTTTAAGGTATTTCAGGTAAAGTCTTATAAATCGAGTCTTTTTTTTAAGGTATTTCAGGTAAAGTCTTATAAATCGAGTCCTTTTTTAAGGTATTTTAGGTAAAGTCTTATAAATCGAGTCTTTTTTTAAGGTATTTTAGGTAAAGTCTTATAAATCGAGTCTTTTTTATGTAAGCCTGATGCGTGTCTGCTGGGTAAGGTCTGAAGCCAGAGATTCATGAATATATTTTACATAAATATTCCTGTGGGAGGTGACGGTGAGGCTCATAGAGGCTTGTAAACACACTGGAGGCAGGTGAAGGGTGTCTGCCATTACCTGAAGGGGGAAAGCCCGCTATTACCTGAAGGGGGGGGAGGCAGGCACTACATTACTGAAGGGGGGGAGGTGGCCCGGCCATTGCCTGAAGGGGGAGGGTTCAAGGATTACCTGAAGGGGGAGGTGTCTGCTATTACCTGAAGGGGGGAGGTGTCTGCCATTACCTGGAAGGGGGGGGGAGGCTCAGCTGACACCTGGAAGGGGGGGGAGGTGTCTGCCATTACCAGGCTGGGAGGGTCTAATACCTGGGAAGGGGGGGGAGGTGTCTGCCATTACCTGAAGGGGGAGGTGTCTGCCATTACCTGAAGGGGGGGGGAGGTGTCTGCCATTACTTGGAGGGGGGGGGAGGTGTCTGCTATTACTTGAAGGGGAGGTGTTCATTACTTGAAGGGGGGAGGTAAGTCTGCCATTACCTGAAGGGGAGGTGTCTGCCATTACCTGAAGGGGGAGGTGTCTGCCATTACTAGAAGGGGGGGAGGTGTCTGCCATTACCTGGAAGGGGGGGGGAGGTGTCTGCCATTACCTGAAGGGGAGGTCTGCCATTACCTGAAGGGGGGAGGTGTCTGCTATTACCTGAAGGGGGGAGGTGTCTGCCATTACCTGAAGGGGGGGAGGTAGTCTGCCATTACCCGGAAGGGGGGGAGGTGTCTGCCATTACCTGAAGGGGGAGGTGTCTGCCATTACCTGAAGGGGGGAGGTGTCTGCCATTACATGAAGGGGGAGGTGTCTGCCATTACCTGAAGGGGGGATTTAAATGGCCATAAAGAATTTTAAAATACACTAAGAGACATTTAAAGTGATCAGAAATATTTAAATGTCAGAAGCTGTAAATTAGTTGAAAGGAAATGTATTTAATGACCCTATACAGCATTTAAATGACTCTATGAGGTATTTAAATGGTCTGAAATGCGAGAAAATACCAGATATGACATTTCAAAGGCTAGAAAAATGGCGCCTGGGGTTAGGTTTGGCTGCCCTTGGTGGCTCGCGTTTCACTTGGCGAATTTTTCATATGCAAATTACTTAAGCTGATGACTACCTGGCCCAGTGCTGACGCTTGTTGTGGTGCTGGGCTGATCTTGGTGGTGTTGATGGTGGTAGTGGTGTTGATGGTGGTAGTGGTGGTGGCCACGGTGGTGGTAACAGGTAATGTGGGTGTCTGTAGAAAATAATGATGGTAAGAATTTATGTTAATAACCTTTTCTTTATACCATCTACACCCACCACATCCACACCCACCACATCCATTCCCACTACTCCCATTCCCACCTACACCCACCACATCTACACCCACCTACACCCACACCATCTACACCCACCCACACCATCTACACCCACCCACCTACACCCACACCATCTACACCACCCCACACCCACACCACTCCACACCACCCCCACACCCACACCATCTACACCTGCCCCCACACCATCTACACTCACCCACCCACACCCACACACCCACCTACACACACATCTACACCCACACACCCACCCACACACACACACCATCTACACCCACACACCTACCTACACCCACACCATTTCTCCACATCTATTTGACTTCATACCTATTGCCTGAGCCTGGTTAATATTTCACACCTGGCTTAGCCATTTGCTACCTCTCACACTCATTAATATTTCATTTCACACACATTTGGCTACACCATCACTCTACACCTCACATTATTTCACATTCATTTCACACCATTACCATTTAAAGACACACACACACTTGTTTCACACACACACATATTCCACACATTCCACCTACACACCTGCTGCTTAAAAGACGAGATATTTTACCACTGACCCACACCCCTGTGTGTGTGTGTATGAGGAGGCTGTTTGCTGCTCTACTGCACCAGACTGGGCGTAAGTATATGTAGTGGGCGGTGGTGGTAGGCGTGGCTGGTGTGTGTGTGTGTGTGTGTGTGTGTGTGTGTGTGTGTGTGTGTGTGTGTGTGTGTGTGTGTGTGTGTGTGTGTGTGTGTGTGTGTGTGTGTGTGTGTGTGTGTGTGTGTGTGTGTGTGTGTGTGTGTGTGTGTGTGTGTGTGTGTGTGTGTGTGTGTGTGTGTGTGTGTGTGTGTGTGTGTGTGTGTGTGTGTGTGTGTGTGTGTGTGTGTGTGTGTGTGTGTGTGTGTGCGCGCGCGCGTCCTTCTTCCCTAAACTATAAATAAACTCTTACTTGTAATATTTCTTCTATATTAAGTAAGTTATTATTTTATTCATATATTTATAAGCTATCGAATTCTAAGACATATAATTCATGTTTGTGTCCACTATATATATATTTTTAATTGAGTTAGTTGGTGAATTACAAGACATTATATAATGCATGGGTTGTGTTTATATAATCCATGGGTTGTGTTTATATAATCCATGGGTTGTGTTTATATAATCCATGGGTTGTGTTTATATAATCCATGGGTTGTGTTTAGTATTATATAGTGTCTGTCTGTATGTCATGGTAATCGTATCTTTGGTATTTCAGGTGGTCAAGTTGAAACAGGTGGAACACACCCTGAACGAGAAGCGAATATTACAGGCCATCACCTTCCCCTTCCTGGTGTCTCTAGAGTTCCACTTTAAGGTAAATTATGATGAGGTTATGGGCTGTCTTCTTCTGCCTCCTCCTCCTCTTGCTCTTCTTATTTAACTTGTCCTATTCTTCCTCTTCTTTTTATTGTTATCTTCTCTTCTTCCTCTTTTTCCCTTCTTTGCCTTCCTCTTTCTTCCTTTTCTCCCTCTTTTTATTGCTATCTCCTCCTCCTCCTCTTCCTCTTCTTTTTCTTCTTCCTGCTGTTATTTCTTATTGACTTCATTTTCCTGCAATGTCTCCTCCTCCTCCTCCCTCTTCTTCTTATGCCTCCTTCCTTCCCTATCATCCACTTTCCCTCCATCTTTTCTTCTTTACCTCTTTTCTCCCTCTCCTTTTCACATTCCTTCTCTCTCTCTCTTTCTCCCCTCTCCCCCTCTCACCCTCTCTCCCCTCTCCCCTCTCCCTCTTCTCCCTCTCTAATCACATAAACCCAGATTCTATAAGTAATAATATTTTCATAACTCTGTACTAATTCCACTTTTATTACAGGTACGTCATTTCCTCTTCGTTTAGCAAGTTACCTGTTATTAGTGTAGTCAGTTACCTGTTATTAGTGTAGTCAGTTACCTGTGTTGTTATTGATGTAGTTACTCCATTTGTTAGGGTGGGTGCGGGTGGAAGATGCCCTGCGCTGGTGGGCGGGAGAGAGAGAGTGTGTTTATTGAATTAGGATTGACCTTCATTGCTCTGTGGCTATATGGTTGAGTGTGGGTGGGTGTATGTGTGTGGGGGTTGTTAAAGTGTGTGTGTGTGAAGCTACTAATTAACAGGGCCAGGATACAGAGCCAGTTCAGATGACCTTGTTTGCTCCCGGTAGTAGAAGCCTGGTGGCGACACTATCAATCTGGGCTCAGACTATGACAGCTCACTACTATTCTCCTCCGTTAACTTACTCAAGAGATCTTATGTAGTCATCTCATATAAACTAGGACACAAATATAACCAAAAATCAATAAAATAAAATCATAAGTCATTAAAGGTGTTTTGATTTTATCTATAAGGGGTAATAATATCTCTAATTTGTATATTCTAGTTAAATTCACAAGAGGAAGGTAAATGATGTCTCTAAGGATCATTATCATATTTTTCCTGGTGTAAATTAACCTCTTTCGTTGTTAGGGTTCTCTGACGTGCGGCTAGGGAGAGAGTGTCATCCGGGCTGGAATAGGTTCTGATCACTCGACACCGTTTCTAAGAATAGACCAAGGATTCTTAACACCGTGTCTCAAGGTGACAGTAAAACAACACTACCCAACCTATCTTCACCTCTCATGGTTAAGAGATACGTTGATAGGAATTTTGGGTGGGGCAGGGCAGGGTGGGGTGGGGTTGGGCGTGACGAAGATACCATTCAGGAATCATTTAACTCATCAAGCATAACAGTTTACAGGTAATACAAGGAATCTCTAAGGTGCGAGGGACATAATTACGATAACACACCTTTATCAAAATCCTTTCTCAGATTTAGTAACAGGTGATCACCTCCCACCTGTCTCCCCCCTTGCCTCCCCCTAGCTATGATACTGATGGTCAGGATAGGAGGATAGGTTGGTTGGTACAGTCTGCTTGAGAAGGTTCATAGGCTCCAAATAATCACTACTATAGGCGCCCACTACCCTTCTTGAATGCCTATCCGCTCTAACTAGTTTCCGTAATAGCGAATGTGTGTGTGTGTGTGTGTGTGTGTGTGTGTGTGTGCGTGTGTGTGCGTGTGCGTGTGCAAAATCCTAACTCAGGTTGGGGTCCAGCGGTGGTTACGTACTGTGTGTATAATGGGGAGATGGTTGTGGGTGGCTGTTCTATTCTTGGTAAAATGGCACCATAAGGAAATGCTCTCTCTCTCTCTCTCGCTCAAGTGCTCTTTGTTCAGTGCTTCTTAGAATAATCTTACCTCTCTCTCTATCTCCCTCCCTCCCTCTCCCTTCCTCCGTCTCTCTCATGAATGACAGTCTTGTGTGGCAGATGATATTATTCTCATGTGGGATTTATTATGAGGACTGAAATGTGTTTGTGTGTCTATCTATGAAAACGTGTGTGTATGTGTGTGTGTATGCATGTGGGGCCGTACATACATGAAACAAACACAGACAGACAGACAGAGACAATTTATTTATCCTCTTTCTCCTCTCCTTCTTCTTCCTCCTCCTCCTCTTCTCTGGTAACCACATGTGATAAACTTGCCCTCTGACACATCCTCTCTGACACCTGATTCACACACACACGACTTGACATTTTATTTTGGCCAATGACAGCTGTCTTGTCAGTGTGTTGGGCCAATGTTGTGTACTTGTTTGGTTATGATTGTTGTTAACTGAAGTGTTTATGGGAGTTGTTTGTGCCTTGTTTAGGTTGATTAAAGTGGGCTAAATTGTTCATAGAGGCACTTTAGATCGAGGTTCATTCTCTTATAGATGATAATGAAAGCTGTTAATGGTAAGAGAGTCCGTATTTCTGGTTTGCAATGGTTGTGTGTCATGTTGTGGCTTTCGGGGAACTCGTGAGGGAAATATTCTTTTTTTACCTCTGGCTAGTGAGAGTCCATCAGCCGAGCTATGATTGGACGGAATGCTTTTTATGTCGTTTCTTAATATAACATTAGGTTTTATTTTTTTATATATTATATTATCTCTCAAAATAGCAGCATATAACACCAGCCAACTCAACCTTTAACATCGTAGGTTAGGTTAGGTTTGTGTGGTCTGGTTTTAGGAATACGACATCAGGTTTTCCAGCCAATCACAGCCTGGCTAACATTGGCTCGTTAGTCGCACGTCCGTTTCCTCGTCGTTTCCTTGGTAGTTGGCTGTTCCTCTTATTGTATTAATATAAGGTGATAATATATAATCTCATTTTGAACCTATTTTGTATCTTATAATAGTCATAACTACATAATTATACAATTTAGTTTTTTTTAATGGCTGTAACAGTAATTTAAATTAGTTTTTCATTCACATTTGTATTTAATTAAACAGTAATTATTTTTATCTTTTACCAGTTTTATTTTTGTTTTTGCTTTTTAACTAATTTTATTTTGTATTACTGTATAGTAAAAATTTGTGGTTAATTCAATGTTAAATTCTCATGAAATATTTATTGAGTTTTATTGATGAATTTATTGATATGATAAATGGTTTCTTTCAGGTGTGGGTCAAAGTGTACTCTTATGTCACTTACTGGTGATGTGAAATGCCAGAAAATTTTAATCTCTTTCTTATTGTTTCTCTCTCAGGCTTAAAAATACTTCTGATGATAATGTTTTCTGTTATTTTCTTTTCTCTGTCTCAATGTCCTCTGTTAATGTTTTCTTTCTGTAGTTTATTCCTTGTTTTTTATATTTCTTTCTCTTTAAAAATGCTCCCACGTAAATTTATTCTCATAAAAAATACCCCACGTTAATTTATTCTCATAAAAAATGCCCCTACGTAAATATTTTCAATAAATTTTCTTCTTCTATTATGCTTAAATGCCACCTACAATACTTAAAAAAACACCCCAATATAAATGTTTAAGATTCGTATATTATTTTTATTCTATTAAACGTCTACTGTATTATCTTGCGCTATCTATACAGTATACCTTTCTGTATTATTGTCGTGTAAAATTGCCTATTTCTCTCTTTTATCCGTTCACCCGGTATTTTCTTATCCATATGTTCTCTTACCCATATCCATAACATGTCCTTGACTATATATGGATTAAAGTCTTCTCTCTTTACTATTCAATCTCTTATCCATCTTGCATCTGTATCCATACACATTAATGTCCATATCCACCTTAATCCAACTCATTCCCTCATTCTTATCCATTTTACAACTCATTTCCTCATATTCAACTCATCCTAATCCAACTCATTCCTACACATCCCTCTGTTCATCTTTATTCTCTGTGTTTCTACTGTATATCCCTCCTTTTTTTTTATATCACTTGTATATTTTCTTATTTGTACATAATCTTAGTGTGAGTTTCTTGTACGTTTTCTGTTCTGTCTTCTTGTTTTTGTCCGTACTGTAAACGTCATTCGCTTTCTCCTGTCTACCTCACCTTGCCCCTTCCTTGAGACCTTGTATACTGTACTGTTGCCTTTCTTGAGCACTGTGCAGTATTGCCCTCCTTCCCTGAGGCCTCGTCGTGCCCCTTTTCCTTGAGCCCTGTACAATATTACCCCTTCATTGAGCCTTGTATTGACCCTTTCCTTGAGCCTTATCCTGCCTTGCCTACTCCTAACTCTCCAGCCACTCCTAGACCTTATATAATTAGTCGAGTGTCCCCCCCCCTCCCCTCCCCCCTTCCTCTCCATCTTTTATCATCGTAGCCACAAACTTTCCTCTCCCCATCATAGGGAAGTTTTGACCCTTCAACCTCTTAAAAGTTCCTTGAATTCTATTTTTGTCTTCAGCATCATGCCAGGTGTAGGTAGTCACTATGTTCCCACCTTTCGTAACACTTTGGCTTCAGATTTCCTTTATCCAGTAGAGTATCGGCCATTTCCTTTTGTCTTTTAAATTATCTTCAGCTTTTTCGTCCATTAGAAGATCATTGTAGATTCCTATCGTCCATTACAATAGCCCAACTGTGCTTTATTAATAGGATACCTGTAGTTTCTTAATGAGGTACAGTGTACGATAACGACCCTTACCTGTAGCTCGGTGATTCCTTTAGATGATTACGCTATTATACAGTTATTTGATGTTTTCCAGACCTGGCCCAAATTTTACTCTCCTCTTTAACTTGTTGTAAACTTAGACTCACTCACTTAGACTTCTGCCTCTCCAAAACTTCCCTCTTGTTCAACTCATTGTGACTATCTTAACTCATTCTGATTTGATTATTGTATAGCAAGGATTTTTTTAATATATATATTTAATCAGCTAGTGAATTATATTTGGATTGTGACGTCTTGTGCCTAATGGACTGGTATGTTATGTTAACTTTATATCACCTTCAGGTACGTCATTTTCGAGTTTTGTTTTGTATCTTTCCTTCCTCTTTCCTCCGTATGTACCAGATATGTTTTATGTCGTGTGTATGCGTGCGTGTGTGTTTGCGTGTGTGCGTGCGTGCGTTATGATGTTGAGTTTGACATTTATTTACTCCTCACCTCCTGCCTTATGCCTTGCACCCCAGGACAACGCCAACTTGTATATGAACATGCCATTCATCCCTGGCGGAGAGATGTTCACCTACCTCCGCCGTGTCCGAAGGTTTAGGTAATTCCTACTCCCATTCCCGTGTCCTAACCTGTGTCCGAGGTCACATCGTAACCCATACTTGTGTCTGAGGTTACACCATAACCCGAGTCCATGTCCGGGGGTCAAACCTTAACCTAAACCCATGTTCGGGGGTCACACCTTAACCTAAACCCTTGTCTAGGGGTCACACCTTAACCTAAACCCATGTTCCAAGTACTGTATATCCATAGCCCTTACCCACACCCTGAATACCTCTCCACACCCACACCAAACAGCCCAAGTATCCATATATTTGTACGCCTCTCACGTTTGCCTGTGATCCACCCAGTAGTTATAATTAGCAAACCTTCCGTCTTTCTTTCTTTCCTTCCTTCCTTCCTAGACAGTATAAAAGCATAAAGCATTATTCCTTGCACCAGAATGCAGTTGGATTACTTTCTATAAGATTATTACAACTCGCACTTGCTTCCACAAACTTTTGCACTGATATTTGCACCACTTTTCACTGTGCAACTAAATGCTATGAATAAAATTTCCTAATGGTAACTTGCACTAAAATTACTCTTAAAAAAAAATATATATATTATGCACAGTTACTCGACTTAAGCTGTAGCTTAAAGGTATAACCTGATATTTGGTAATCCCAGAAACAAGATTAAATTTACCTGTTAACTCGACTAGCCAGTAACCCTCAAGATAAACGAAGGTTGTGTTGTTTATTTACTGTAATCGTGCTATAAGTCTCACCATAATCTGTGTACCTATCCTGTGGTGTTCAGTGATATGCGACACTTTTTCTCAAATAATTTTTTTTATATTCTTCGGTTATTTTTCGTTACTTCGTGGATAATCATGAAGTTTGACGCAGGTTAACAGTTCCGTAATTCTCCCTAACAGAATGTGTACAAATATACCTAGTCCATCCTCTCTCTCTCTCTCTTGTCCCTTTCAGTCTCTCCATTTCTGCCAGTTCTACTTCCTCTCCTCCTTATCTCACCTCCCCATCTCATCTCCCCATCCCATCTCCTCCCCATCCCATCTCCTCCCCATCCCATCTGCTCCCCATCCCATCTCCTCCCCATCCATCTCCTCCCATCCCATCCCTCCCCATCCCATCTCCCCATCCCATCTCCCCATCCCATCTCCTCCCCATCTCATCTCCCCATCCCATCTCCTCCCCATCCCATCTCCTCCCCATCCCATCTGCTCCCCATCCCATCTCCTCTTCCATCTTCACTGTGGCTACCTCACCTTCACCTCAGCTCAATATTATCCTTCGTGTCCCTAATGTCTCCAAAACCAGTAATTGTGTCGATATCAGTTTCTTGGTTCGTTTACATTGATTATTAATCTTTACGTCGGCAGTCTTCCTTTATCTGTTCCGGATCACTCCAGTTAACTTCTTATAATTCTCTCTTTTTTTTTTAGATCCTGTATTTTTCTTTTTTTTTCTCTCTCTCTTTGCATTATTCTATCTTCTAATTTTTATAGTTCCCTTTAGTGTGTTTATGTCTCCCATCTTTCTTTTTGTAGATATATTTTTTCTTGTCTTATTATTCTTTCACCTTTATAGTCATTCAATGGCAACTTATCTTCTGTGATATACATAACTCACTTGTTTTTCGTGTTTTAACTCATTGATTTCATTGATTTATCGCGGTTTTCTTTAAATTTTTTTCCCCTTTCATCTCACACTTTCACGAACATCATAAAACTGTACCGTATATCTCTCTCCATGCTGAGTCCATTCTGTTATCAACTCAATTCACTATTGTACAATCATCCCTGAAATGTAATCCCAGTTTACTCGTCCTCTGTTCAGTGTCATTAAGCCTTGTACAGTGAAGTCCATATGCTTTACTTGTCCCTCCCCCCCCCCTCCCCTCCTGTACTCCCTCCCTCCTCCCAATCTCTCTCTTCCCCTTCCCTCCCTCACTATGAGTGTCCCCTTCATCATGGACATTGTTATACTTGCAGGATAACACCAATTTATACATGGTGCTTGAGTATGTCCCCGGGGGTGAGATGTTCTCACACTTGCGGCGCTTGGGAAGATTTAGGTAACTACTAACTTCTATTACTGTCACACCTCGTATTATGACAATGTGTTTGGCCCCTCCTAGCTGACCCTGTGACAGCTACCAGGATGATGTCGGAATCAAGCAGTATTATGTGCTATACCTTGTGTGTGGGTGGTTTGTTTTTATTCCTGAGCTGTAGTCAAGTAATGCATTCACAAGTCTAGTCTGTTTTTTCTGACACAATTTTTTTTCTATTGTTTTTTGGTGATGATGTTTGACTTTGAAGGTATTACTTGACTGTAGTGTCCCTGGCCTGAGGTCCACATGGAAGACTGCCATCCACAACAGTTTCTAAACACCCGGCTTCCACTCTTTTACATTGTTAAGTACTAATGATCCCAGAAGTACTGTACTAACAGTCAGCACTAACAAGAATGGTATTACTCAATGTATACATTTCTCCAACATTTCAGGATAATTCCAATTTGTACATGGTGTTAGAGTACGTGCCTGGTGGCGAGATGTTCTCGCACCTGAGAAAGATTGGCAGGTTTAGGTAAGAGTGTCTCTGGACCACTGCTAGTGCTACTGCACCCAAAGGCACACCATCAGCCACTGGCCCCCTCGGCTTTTCATATTAGAATGCTTTAAGCCTCCCTGAGTACTATAGCAGACGTAGGCATGTGAGAACCATGCATTATGTCTGCTGTGATACAGTCGGGAAGGGTGACCATAACTGCCGTGCTAGTTCATTTTTGGTGGCAGGTTTTTGGCTGTTTTTTACTTATAATTTGCTCTCATTTTAGATGCTTTATATCATTTGTTGGTGTTATTAGCTGTCGTGGCTATAACAGTTTTATGAGACGACCCCAGTACTATACCAAGGGGTCAGTTTTTTACTAGAGATTATGGTGTTGTGTATTACATTGAGAAAAAGTGGTGCCTTTATAAGGTACCTTTGGTAAATAACAGAAGGAAAAGGTGAACCTCCCTTTTCCTTGTGATACATAAAACCATGACTAAGATCCAGATTTTAATACCTGAGCTCCAATGTTCCTTTTGTGTAGATGTTCACAGCTTGATGTGGTGGTCAGTATATAATGTACACCCACCCTCTTGTCTCCCTTACTCCCCTTTTGTTAAATAAACAGTTGTATTGTACTATTAATCCTCTGTATAGAAACTAAACTCGCTGTCTATGGTTTTTAAAATGTTTTAATCCTGTATACTGTAGTTAAAATAGACCACAGCTAAATAATATTTTGATAATTTTGGTATAAAGCAACTTTACTTGATCTTCCGAATGTGTGTGTAACTTTCTGCATGCTTCAACAACCAGTGAACAGTGGGTGTGGTGAAGGTCGTACCATTACTAACATGCCATGGGGAATCTTGACAAGTTTTAGATGTGCTCCTTCTTTAATATAAACATTCCAGTAAATAAATACTGGCTACTGTTACCCCTGTGAGTGTAGTGGACCTCCCCAGACCCTAACACTGTTTGCCTTGTGTTTCCCCATTTGTATATCAAGCACTGTTTCCCTCTCCCTTTGAGCACATATCTGGATATGTCTGTGTCTGTCCTCATTTCTGCTGTGAACTCAAACTTACATACAGAAATTTGATGTCATGTGTTTGAAATAACTAATTCACACACACACAGAGTTTGGTGTTATATGATTAATAACTAGCAATTACTAATAACTTTTTCCAAGGTGCAATATAACAACGGAAGTTAATATCTTTATGTACTAGTAATATGTTGAAAATGTTGTGAAACTACAAAGTTAAATGTGTGTCAGTGTTTTAAGGTAAAAAATATACAGTACATGGGAGTTCTGAAAATACAAATGATCATCGATACTAATTTCTAAAACTGTTTATTGATTGAAATGGATAGCTTTTGATAGATACAGTACGGTCTTGATGAAATAATGGCTATTAGAATAATCTCCCTAACTATTGTGTGTTAAATAGTCTATGCATTGTTTTAACCAATGTACATACAGATAGTTGAACAGTTTACCTACCAGAAAATATAATTAGTTTCAACATTGATTTATACTGTATTTTAGTTCATCCAAAGTTCAGGGTAACAGTTCAGTATTTAGATTGAGATGAAACTCCTATTTTTATTACAGTAATGCCTTTTGGTTATAACTCATCTTATAGACACATTCAGAAATTCCTGTAATCTTAATACAGTTCCATGACTCAGAAGGACATAAGTTATGCAGCTGAAATAACTCTGTACTGTATCACATCACCAGGATGAGCCAAGTCCCTGTGAAAGTTGATGCATTATATGTACAGTATTGGTGATTAGTGATTTATGTAGTAATTAGGTCATATAACAGAGAATTGGGGATAAATAGCAGTTATTGGTGACGTTACATGTATCAGTCACTTCCATGATCAGTGTAACATAATCATCTAGTAATTAGCATACAGTAATTAAAGGAAGACAGAGAATGTGTGAGAGAGAAAGTTGGAAATAAAAAAAAATAGATAAAATAAGATGATGTTGAATAGGGAATGAAAGAAGGAAAGACAGGAGATATTATTATTATTACCAAGTCACAATACATCAACAGCCTCTGATAAGGTCGACGAGGGTTAGGCAGGTGTGGGCGGCTGGACTGCTGTGGGTGAGATGGGAATTGCACATGAAGTTGTAGTGGAGGGGAAAGTTCCTAACTAAGAGGCTCCTCATCAAAGAGTCCCATCATAAGAGGAGCTTGAGGGTATTAAAATGTCTGGGTAAAGGGTTTGAGGAGGATCAAAGAGACAAGGTTCCAGTGCCAGAGGATCGTGGGAGTGTTGAAGCTCTGACGTTACCGAGGAAGGAATGGTTAATTTGAAACACTTATTTACATGTTTTGACATGAATGTAATAGGTAATTAGTTTTGCTTGATAAGGTTATTGAAACTCCGTGAATATTAATGTAACTATATAAAGGATACAGTATATTCTAAACTCTTGAAAAATGTCTGCGGCGGAAACTAAGATCTTGTGTTTATGCGGAAGAAAGGTCTCGCAGAGTGAAAAAAGTAGTGTTTCTTATTATACACAATGATATACGGCTGCCTGAAGGAAAGATTTAAGAACTGTGAACATAGATCCAAGTTTATGAAAACGCTGAATGATAAAAAAAAAATTGCTTAAAATCCTCAGACACGAGTGCAGTATTTTGTCCTGTAACACAACTCTGCTTCAGTTTACACGTATTTTTACTTTATGTTGAATCAAACCTCACCTCTCCCCCAGCACACACATATATATAACTGCATGTCAGCTTGTGTACTAATTATAATAACAATTAATATCTCTCTCTCTCTCTCTCTCTCATAAGTATGTATCCTCTTGAGCATTTATCCTCTGGTGTGTCCCTGATGGCAGCCTTTTGTATTGCCTGAAATATATGGATACATAACTGTAACTGTATTTTTCTAATTAATGTGCTACAGTGAAACCTCTATATAACGCACTATATAGAGAGGACAGTCCGTTATATCGAGGCTCTGTTAAATGTGAAATCCCTCTTCTAAAGAACTATATAGAGATGAAAGTCCATTATATCGACGCTGTGTTAAATGTGTAACCCTCCATCTAACGGATTATATATCGAGAAAGAAGTCGTTTATCCGGTTGTTTCACTGTAATGTATTGATGGAATGTTCAGGACTGTACTATATTTATACGGTTGACTTTGTTTATGACGTATGAATACAGTATGTTATTAAATTACTCTACGTTAATATTGTCTTTATAAACAACAAAAATTTTTATGGCTAATATAGTTAGTGATGTAAACAACCCAATATTTGTTTCACCTTTAATTACACTTAATATAATGCCCTTTAATTACATTACCAGTAGTTCAGAGTTGGCAACACACACACACACACACACACACACACACACACACACACACACACACACTCACTCACTCACTCACTCACTCACTCACTCACTCACTCACACACTCACTCACTCTCACACACACACACACACACACTCACTCACTCACTCACTTTTTAAACCCCAATATTAATACCTAAACAGACTCAAAACCATAAACTTTTTTGACGGTAGATACGAGTCACACAACAGACCATTGCCGTACTCAGTTCATCACGCCCCGAGGAGCATTTCAAACACTCACTATTTATGTTGTATATAAATAATCTTGTCATGTACTGTATATATAGAAGTACACTCTGAACACGACCGAGGTATTACAGAACAGGTAGCTGGATGGTGGAGAGGGAGAGACCAAACATTGGACCAACATTGTCTTACACGGGACATATAATTTTTACTTTTTTTTAAACATGTTAGAGTTATGTATAGAATTTTGACCTTTTTTATTTTTTACTAACATTATATTGTGGGTTTTAACGGTATAGTATTTGTATAGTTTTATATATCTATAATTAGACTATTTAAGTTGAGTGACTGGGATGCCAGGAAATAATTAAATTGTTTCATTACTTTAGGATATAGTCTCATTAATATATTTCTAGGTGTATCTATTGTTGACAAGCTAAACATCATTAAGCATTACCATGTACATTACAGTATTGTTTTACTGTATAAAATCTTGTTAAAAATATAATACCATATGATGAGCCATACTTTAGTCTGAAGAATATGGCCACTTTACATAAGTTTTATTTATACTGTATATTATTAAAAATTTAAGATCTTAAGATATAATTGCATAGTTGTTTTTGTAGTTTTGGGTAGAGAAAATATTCTATAAGTGTCAGTTTGTGATATATATGGAGTAAAAACCATTAATATAAATTTGTCCTTCCCCCTCCCCGTGCTTCTACAGTGAACCCCACTCACGGTTCTACGCTGCCCAGATTGTGCTAGCATTTGAATACCTCCACTACCTTGATCTCATATACAGAGATCTCAAGCCAGAGAACCTACTCATAGACAGCCAAGGGTACCTCAAGGTAAGGCTCGTGTGTAGGTCAATCGTGTGTGTCATAATTACTTCTGAACTGGACGAGTGTTTGACGCTAGATTACCTTTTAGTGTCCGAGTTGGGTTATTGTCTCGCACTGTAAATGTCCTATTATTTTATTTGTTATGTAAATATTGCATAAAGCTTTTTGAATCTTTCAGTTTAGATTAGAAAGTTTGTGTAGAACTGTAGATTAATAAAGAGATTTTACTGTGATATCACTTACAGTTTTAAAAGGAAATAAATTCTCAGTTACTCCATAGTTAAAAGGGAATATTAATTATGACTAAAAGGACATCCAATTCTGTTTTCATTTGGTTAAAAGTTTGTTCAGTTTATAATTTAGAAAAAAGGGCAGAGGTAATTTGTATTATGTATAGTATAGTGGGTGGTAAGTGATGTTAGTCATGCACTGTGGCTGTTGGTGGAATTCTGTGACTGTGTGTTAAAGGGTCCTCCACATAACACAATCAGTAGAGAGGTGACACTACCTACTATGGCAATGGTACAGATGGTGTCTTGTACCTTAAAATATTAGTGATTTAATTAGTTAGGGAAAATGCTTAACCCCTTGTGTATGGGGTCTCCTCTGAGCTGAAGAAAATTGTCTGTTGTTAGTAAAATTAGATATTAAAAGTGGCGTCCCTGTAGTGTTATTATGGCTGAAACTGAGAGGTTGTTGTCAATCCTTTATAAGCATTCTTAATTAATCCTGTTTGAGTAACGTGGAATATCTGTGTTTCAGGTAACCGACTTTGGGTTTGCCAAGCGGGTCAAGGGACGAACGTGGACGCTGTGTGGGACCCCAGAGTACTTGGCCCCTGAGATCATTCTTTCTAAGGTAATGTTTATATCAAGACTCTACTGTTTGCTGAAGTTATAATACAGAATGTCCACAAAGTTGTGTTCTGATTTTGAAATTTTATTACAGCAAAACTAAAAGAGTACTGTAAACATTTTTCACCTGTGCATGCTGGGATTTGAACCCGGACCACTAAGGTTGGCACTCAGACAGCCATCCATTGGTGATGGACTAAAAGCTGCCCTTCCTTAGCTGCTGACTTTACAGCTCAAGGTCCCTCGCCTATAACTGTGGGTCTGGTGGGTTAGGGAACCCCACTCACACGAGTCCCAGAGAGCTTTTAATATACTTCCCAGCTCAAAAGTGTTGTCTCTATATGATAACCTGTAATGTACACAGGACTTTGTGAACAACCTGTATGTCTAGACCACAATGTTGTCCAGTAAAAGATCTATTCCATACTACAGTACTGCAGAAGATATTATGCTTAAGAAATAAAATATGAGGTTTTATATGCCTGAATATACTCCCTCATCTCACAGTTTCAGTGGCTGTATGCTGATGAATGTATTAAGTATTGCGCGACCTGATATAAAACATTTCTGGTATCTTACAGACAGATAAAAGTACTTGGTAAACTGTATCAGACCTTGTGTTCCTTCTCATTTGATTATATGATGAAAATAATTATGGTACAAATACATTTAGTTTGACTTATACCTCAATAAAGGATAATTACAAATGTTCCTAATTAACTAGTTTTGAAGTTTTTGATTGATTTTTCCACTAATGGTAAAGAAAAGTTGGTTGGCTCAATGGTAATGTTGAGAAAAGAAAAATAACAGATCTTATCATTGATTCATTTTTATTGAAGATATAGCCAAGGTTCTTTCATGGTTGTATGGAGTGGAGTAGATGGCTGAGGGAACTTTATCTTCACACAGGGCTACAACAAGGCAGTGGATTGGTGGGCACTTGGCGTTCTGGTCTATGAGATGGCCGCTGGATATCCTCCATTCTTCGCCGACCAGCCTATCCAAATATACGAAAAAATCGTCTCTGGAAGGGTAACACTCTCCTCCCTCCCCCTTTAACCTCAGTGATATACCTGTATTTTATTTATTTTTACCATTTTCTGTCTATTGTAAAAACTTGTATGAAAGGTAACACATTCTCTCTAGTAACCTGATTGATATATTTACTATTTTCTGCTCATTGTGAAATTTTTGTTTTAATATTGATAATGTTGTGTTTGTGTTTGTTTAAGCTCTCAAGTTTTGGTTTTTCCCGTGAGAATGAAGGTTGGTGATCTTTCTCTGGTGTGGTAATACTGATCTTTCTCTGGTGTGGTAATACTGTACAGTACACAATTTCTACTAGGTATAACTTGGCTGGTCATGCAGAATTGTCACCAGACACTGTGTTAGGTCAGTCCTGTACACTTAATGTGCTCTCCAGATGTGTATCTCTCAGTCTTGTCTCTTTTGTCTCACTTATGTCTGTCTCTCACTCAAGAGTCTCTCCTATCTCCCCTTGTGTCATTTAGAGCTGTCTCTTAATCCAATCTCTGCCTCCTATGTCTCACTCCAATTAATATCTTTGTAACTCTCTCTTCTGTCTCAAACCTCCAATTTGAGTCCCTGTCTTTAAAATATTTCTACTCAACTCCCAGTTGTTTGACTCTGACGTTCTTCTAGGCAAATTCCCCCCCTCCCCCCCACAACCTCTCTTGATGCGGTAGTTCAGTATTATGATATTCTGTTAAATATTAATCCTTCCACACTTCCAGCCCTTACCCTATACAGTATTCTTATTTTCTCAGCCTCCCCTTCCCTACCATATGCTCCAATAACTCCAGATATGTAATATTTTCATCACACGTGTATAATCCAAGTCAACCGTGTAGTAAGAGAGGAATTAATGCCCAGTTTGGTAATCAGAATATCCCCCTGTTTTGTTCCTGATTTACCAGTCATATGTAATTGAATTTTTTAGGGAAGGGGTGGTGTCAGGAGGTGAAGCTATACTGCACTACCCCTCTGTACTAATCAACCTCATAATAGAGAGACTCAGGTTGATATTTATTCCTTTCATGAGGCCAGTTGACTCCTGCAAATTGACTTCAGTTTGGATAATTACAAACACATATACATATCATGTAATATTTTATTAACCTTAGGAACCAATTATACAGTCATCATCCAGTCATCCATTCTCGACTCCTATCCATTAACTACCCGGTATGTCTGTCATCTCGGTGAATTCCGGCACTTTGATACTGTATCTTACTTTTCATGCACCATAACCTAACCCATATCTCTGTTTTGAGTGTTAACATATTAATTTTATGGTAGTGCTTCAAACTATACCAAGTACATAGTTTGAAAAAAAGAATTATACCTAAAGATATATAATCGACATTCTCCATAATACAGTATTCCCCGAAATTTGTGAGGCAACAACCACCAAGCAAGCAAGCACTGTCAGCTTACCCTACTGCATTGATGTGTTTATTGGTCTCCTCTTCACACATCAACACTGTCAGGCCATAAGATTAGAGTTCCTATCTCATGGAGTGATATACTATGATGGTGACAGGTTAATGCCTTGCTGTATTTTCAATTTGTCTACAGTATTAACAAGTCATGTACTTAGATATCTTACAAGAAGGTATTATATGTATTTTCCATCTTCTTGTTCATGATAAGTTAGTATTGAGTAGATTTAGTTTATATCCACATACCGGGTAGACCAAGTTGTAGAGCCACTGGCACACTTGCAGAAGAATACAGTACGTACTATACAAACAGGGTTAATCTCTTCATCCAGAAAAAGCATAAGTAACATTAGTGAATACCATAAGTAATATCACTAGTACAGAAGAGAGTGAAGGCTGCACTGGTGTACACTGTTGTAGAGGGAATACTGTACCTTTATCATGGTCTACAGAGTGCTTTATGTTGGGACTTATATTTCATGCATTAAAATGATCTTCTCCTTCTAGGTGCGGTTCCCAGGTCACTTTTCATCTGATCTGAAGGACCTACTGAGGAACCTTCTGCAGGTGGACCTGACCAAGCGGTACGGAAACTTGAAGAATGCTGTCAATGACATCAAGAATCACAAGTGGTTCTCATCAACAGATTGGATTGCTGTATACCAGAGGAAGGTGAGCTGCCAGCAAACATACTCTAACTGTCCCAAATTAATGGCTAGACTGGTTTTGAAACTTGAGTTATTCTGGTTTGCCTAGAATTTACAGCTTGCATGACTAAACCTTTACTGTGATACGAGTTCATGTTACTTGGTATTTTATTTGCATGTTATGAAGCCTAGCCTTTAGTGTATTAACATCTCCCATCACTGTTATTTTCTCTAGCACGCTAAAACTTACTGGTACTTGTTTTTGTTACTCATTTAACTTTAAATAATTTATCTATGCAACATAAATTTATTTCATTAAGATTAATCTTTGCATGAGTTAACAATAATGCTGAGATTCTCTCTAAGCCACAAGGCCTGGCTTACATCAAAAGTTGCCTCAGTGCTTCTTGCTTCAGTTTTGACTTCAGTGCTCCCACCAGATGATGCAAGTTATTTGCTGTTAAATGAACACTTGACATTTTATTTTATCCTTTGGGGTTATTTCTTACTACTGTATAGACCAAATATTCTTGGGAACTGAGGTATGTTAAATATGAAATGCTGCTGCCAAGTTACCTGTATTGGTGGAGTCCGAGTCAGTAATTGCTGAGCACCTGTTACAAGTTACTGATGTAAAACTCACATTGTTAAACTGTTAGAATGATTAAGTATGATCATCACAGTGTTAACACTGCCCAGTATTACAGAGAGACTCTCCCTCACTGCCTGCTGTGTTTACCAATGAATTTATTAGAAAACTTTAATTTGATCTTAAGAATTTTTTTCCTTCAGTTTTCATAAAAGGCTTCTTTTCCCATGAAGGATTGACACTGATGTACAGTATACTGCAACTAATATTGTTAAGATCATCATCAGTTATTTTGAGCTTGACTAATGGACAGTACATACACAGTATATTGCTATATATACATGGAATAAGAATATTGAAACTTTGTCATTTTTGCAGCCTGTATTATCAAAATCAATGAGCAAAATTTATTCATAAAGGATAAAAAACTATTACACTTTGATATGTTTTGGTTAACAAAATTCTGCCCCCTCCACTTTTTTTTCATGACAAGTCCAGTACTCTGTCCCCTTTCATGTGGTTGGTAGTTCACCCTGTTGACCTCTCATGGTTGTTCCAAATACAGTTGACATACTTATTCATGGTAGTGTTTGTGTAAGAAATTCTGCTCTTAAGAAACTATGTGAAGAGGACATTTTGTCCTCTGTGAAGTGTAAAGATAATATTCTTTCATTAACTTTGTATTTATGACAGTTTGTAAGAAAATTTTCTCAAAGCTCAAAAAATCTGTTAATGTAATCTTGAATGCCTGCACCGCTGAATGTTGCATGACCGCTTTATTGCCTCCCCGTGGTAGACTCCTGCCCCATTGGTTCCAAAGTTAAAGAGCCGCGGGGACACGACCCAATTTCCTCAGTACGAGGAGAGCAGGACCACCTTCCGCACTACAGCAGAGGACATGTTCTACAGAGAGTTTTCTGAATTCTAGACGGTTGGTAACGGTTTTATTCAGCTCATTCATATAGTATTTTTATAAAGAATCTTTTCGTGTAATACATTGTGTCTGTATGCTCAGCCGTGTCTCCCATGGTCTGAGTTTAACAGAGACTTGTCACATCCTTATAGGGCTTTGATTGGACATATATTTTACCAAACATTTTTCTTTTCCTAGTTTTGGGGCAACTTCTCATCCGGGTTTTCATATAATGGATGTTACATCATCATTCTCAGTTTGTAACCGGTCTCACTTAGTAACTTACAGTGGCTGGAAGCTTATGATAATATTTACACTTATTTTAAAACACACTGAAACTTTTATAACACTGAATATTTGTCTGGGGAAAATTATCATTTGCCATATGAAATCAGATTAGCAGTTACAGAGTTTATAGTTCGTATTTCAGGATGTAGCATTTTTTTGCCATTGGCCTCATATTCACACTACTACTTCTACTACTTTTTTGTCACTTGGAATCCAGGGATGACAGAATGATACGAGTCGCCATCATTATTACTTAGTATTACAGTCTTCTCATCCTCTTCTATCAGCTAATTTATCATTTCCGCCACTATCAGTTTATTAGCAGTTTGAGCAGTCAGTCTCATCATATCCAGTGTTAGTGCAGGAAGAAACAGGAATGCAGTACCCAGAGAAAACATGCAAACACACAACCACTATGATCAGTGTGTGGAGTGAGAATTCATTTGGCGAGGAAGTTATGGATGGAGTGTCACTACAGTACTTGGTCTTATTATCACTTTCTTGCATTACTCTCTCTTAGTACCATTTTCTCTTCCTTAGTACCATTTTCTCTTATTGTTGAAGTTCGTTCCTTCCTTCACTGAACCCGGTAAGTAAATGGAATGGAATTTTACTGTGCACTCTCCTGTATGAAGCCTAATTAATATTTGGTTAATTTATTTACAAGAACTGTGCTTGTGTGTATATGTATGTGTGTGTGCATATGTATGTGTGTGTGTGCATGTGTGTGTGCATGTGTGTGTGCATATGTGTGTGTGTGTGTGTGTGTGTGTGTGTGTGTGTGTGTGTGTGTGTGTGTGTGTGTGTGAGTGAGTGCGTGCGTGAGTGAGTGAGTGAGTGCATGCGTGAGTGAGTGAGTGCGTGCGTGCATGCATGCGTGTGTGCGTGTGTGTGTGAATATTCCCACTTGTCAAAAAATTCTCTCAAATATTTCTGGGTCACCTGAAGATTAGTACCCCAGCTTCTTCCACCTTAAGATTAAACACACTAACCTAACCTAACACCTCAGGTAACATTAAGGTGTGCATTATAATCATTAGGTGAAATAAGGAGGGGGTGTATAATGTTATGTGATATAATTCCCTCTTTTTTTTAGTTTTTGAGACAAGTAGATGTATGGACGTATTACAGGAATACAATATACATCATGGTATTCTAGTATTGTATATATCTCATGTTTATTGTCTTGTTATGGTTAGGTTTTTATTCAAGAAGATGAATTTTTGGTGATTATCTTTTATTAAAATCTTTGGTTCATTCTATAATTTGCTCTTAGTTTGTTAGCCTAAATAATCTTATACCTGTACCTATAATTGAATGTCTAGATCCTAATGATAATCTGAGCTGTTGCAGGAACCTTATTTGTATTTATTTGTTTTTCTTCCAAATTTCTTTATTGTGTTGTGATGATGATACAGTTTCTTGTTATTTTCAGATTGAAGCTCCATTTATCCCCAAATGCAAAGGGCCTGGAGACACCAGCAACTTTGACGACTATGAAGAGGAGGCCCTCCGTATCTCCTCCACAGAAAAATGTGCCAAGGAGTTTGCTGAGTTTTAGAGGCCTTTTGCAGTGTCTAGAGGCTAAGCTGACTCCCTGTGTCTGTGTACAAGTTTAGTACTCCCCTCCAGAGACCCCAGTGCTTGTGCATTGTTGTATACATAGGCTGTGTGTGCACCATTATGTGTGCCACACAGCCAGGCCTCAGGCAAGCAGTGGGCTAAGCAAATGCAGCAGGTGCTCAGTTGTGGGAGATGCTGCTGTGTACTTGGTGGCTCACACACATGCAGACAGTGCCAGAGCCCAGGCTGTGATGGCATGAGTGCCAAGGAGCAGTATGGTGGGTGGTGAGGTGAAAGGTGCCACTGAGAATAGGCTTATCTTTAGTGTCACTTGAAATCAGCTTGATGGAATATAACATAAATTCGTTTTACTGATAATTTCCAAGGGAGAAACTCCTCAGTCTTATGATATGCATCACTTGATTAATATGTTGAACAAGTTGACAGCAAGTAACATTAGAGATACATTTGCCTTTGTGTAGAAAAATGCCACCTCAGGAAGATGCCAGACAGAGGCTGTCAAGCGATGGCGGAGTGAGAGAATGGCCTAAGTGTGGTGGTGGGAGCAAGTGCCATTTTTAGCAAATAAGGTGGCGTACGTGAATAGGTGTGCCGCTGCTAGCCAGCCACTTGGGGTCCGGGAGCTAACCTAGTCATGTGGTGAGTGGGGGTTGACGGACTTGCCGGGAAGAACATCAGTATAACAGGAGACGTTCAGGCGGCTCGGAGGCAAGAGTGAGTTGAAAAGTTACTCATGCTTGAAAAGTTATGTCATCTTTAAACGAGACGGAGAGGAAGGTCTCATTTTATGGTCAAGGTGAATTATACGCATGGCAAGAGTAAGAATAAAAGGACTGGACTCAGATTTTGGTAAAAGAAAAGGGAACGAGCCATTTTAAGTGAGGAAAAGGATGTTTCGCATGATGGAAAGTGCTGCAAAATTAATGAAATCAAAACATATCCTTGATCTTTAGTAATGCTAAGATTGAAATATTTACGAAGGAGCACCTGCCAGAACAAGGAGTAAGTCTTCAACCCGGGCTAACTCCTCCGCCGGTCTCCTGGAGTCTCCCTATTGGCCGTCATCAGAATCGACTGCAGCTTCGTTTACTACACACGGTCGATGCCCCAGATTAACTATGCCAAAATGCAGCCGACTCTCATCACACACTTTGTAGATTACATAGTACACTTATATGGGTTCAACAGAGTTTTTATGATTTAATACAAGAATGACAAATGGCTAGATTTCCCCAAGTTGCATGTATGTAGGTATGTATCAAAGTTAATAACATAAAAAAAATATGTCCATGTGTGCAAAGTTGTAGAATACTTATGTGTTGGATTAGTGTTTCTATGCGATTCACATTGATGTGATAAATTTGAATGATGTGTGATGGCTTCTTTTCATCCATTTCAAAATGAAAAACTAGTTACCGGTAGGCATGTAAAAATTAGATTTTGTGAACTAATCTTTTCTTTTAACTGCCAGTGGGAATGAATGGTTATTAATTGCCTAATTCTGAGAGCAAATATTTTTCTTCTCTTCCTCCTTGTGAAGTCTCAAGCTATATAATACTGTACGGCTCTGTGAGTCCTAAGGCACACTGTAAAAAATAATATTACTTGTCTATTTTCTTGCATTTTAGAGTCTATTGTAATGATTATGATAATTATTATTAGTTTGTGTTGTTATGGTCTGGCGCTCGATTTACGTATCACACTAACCTTAGAGGATTTATGTTGAGTTTCCCAGAGAGCGTCTCATTTCTTTTTAGTGCAATATTTTGATGATGAAAGTGAGAAAGATGCCCTGTGTCACTGTACTTTGCAATGTTACAAGAATATGCAGCTCCAAGGTTTTCTGTCTTTATGTATATATATAAACCTCAGATCACATAGCTGGCATCATCATTACCCAACTGACCCAAGTATCTCCCGTACCGGAGGCACGACCCGAGTCGTGCAATGGCCTTTAGACGGAAACTTTTTACAAGAATTTGTGTTGAAATTGTCGTTTCTGTTAGCAAGAGCAGTGTGTAATTAGTAGTAGGAGTTCAGTACATTGCCAGCCACGTAGGAAAGATTTTTTCCTAATGAATTGGAGATAGGAAGTTACTATGTTTGTACAGTTATGAATTTACATTCAGTATGTTTTATGTAAAATTGCATATGTTAATTCTCTGTGTAGAATGGGTACATGAAACATAACCATTGTATACACAGTTTCTTAGGGGTGATACTTATTATGATAGGATGGCCATTTTTTTTTCTTTTTGGATGGAACCAAAAACTGCTCAATGGGAAGTTTTTGATGTATTAATATTCTGTCAAAAATGTTTTGTGCCAGGCACTTCCGTTAACTGATTTTTTGCCATAATAACTTCCATCGTTGGTAAACTATCACCAAGTGGGAGGAGCAGGGATGGTGATGGAGGTTAGTTCCTTTTTATACTGTGAGGGCCTTTTAGCAAGTTATGGTCATATGTTATTTTAATCAAGCTCCTCTGGGTGTGCTGGTACATGTAGTTGGAAGTAAAGTATTTTGTTTACCAGGTGAAGAACCTTAGCAGATAATTTTACAACATTTTATTGAACTGCTGACCTATAGTATTTAGAACAACAATGACCTTTGAGTGAAAGTCTAGCTATCTTTTTTCTTTTATTTAAGTTACACTGAAAGGTCATTCTCCTGGCACAGTTGGGAATTAACAATTCCAAGTCAGCAATGGGTAATGCAGACTGATAGTTGGATCAGAAACCCTAAGTAGCAGTATCTTGTGAGTGTTTTTTACAGTAATACATGGTGCTCTGTATTACTCTTTGTGAAGAGTTAAGTTAATACCTCCTCACACTCAACTGGCTCCACACGGCCTTGTGTTGGGGGCAGATGTTACCATCATTTAGTGACTGTATGCATCCCAGCTAGAGTAGAAATAGTAAGATATTAACCCTGTCAATACTACTTCCAAATTTTAACAAATCTCAGAACTAACTGTGAATAATTATTTCATTACTATTTCCAAGTATATTAGAACAGCAACTTTAAATCAACATTTTGTTGCTAGTCTATGAGTTTGACAAATAATACCTGAAACATTACAGGTGGTATAAAGATATTCTTTGTACACTACTTGAGTTTAGAAAAGAACAATATTTATTTTTCATGAGCTTCAAGATATTTGAAGAATAGAATGAATGTTAATATAGGTTAATGTTAATTCAAGATTGGAACTCAAGAAGCAGCAGTAAAGACAAGCAAGCACAAACAAGGTTGTTTCCATAGCAAACTAAGGCCAGGTCCTTGAATATTGCTGCTGTATTGGCATTAAGTGGAAAAAAAATGCTGTTCCACCAAAGCTTGTCTGTTGGTTGGTCTTTTCCATTTCGTCAGAATACTGTTGATTTTTCATAGGACTTGTTTATGAAATTGTGAACGAACTGTGTATTTCAAAACTCAACTTGCATGTTTTTATCTTTTGAGAAATTGTTTTCTAAGCCATAATTGTTCATGACTGCAGCTTTACTGGCAGAAGACTATCACGGGGCTGTTTGCATCAGTCAGTAGCAGGCAAATGTTATGCAAATTTCCTCTTAACATTTTTGTCAGTGATTCTGACAGTTTGATGAAGTTTTTATATTTTGTCTGGAATTGTACAAAGAAATTGGAACAATTATTATACGAAAAGACTTTTTTTTTAGATACATTTTTCCATAAGTTTACACGCTAAATATGACGATACCGGTAATCTGATAGTTCCACTAACTGCATCGTTTCATTTAAAGTTTACTAGGAACACAAGTAGCCACAAACTGGTGCACCACATACAGTTAGCTGCAGCAGCCACTGACTGGTGCATCACATACAGTTAGCTGCAGCAGCCACAAACTGGTGCATCACATACAGTTAGCTGCAGCAGCCACAAACTGGTGCATCACATACAGTTAGCTGCAGCAGCCACTGACTGGTGCATCACATACAGTTAGCTGCAGCAGCCACAAACTGGTACACCACATACAGTTAGCTGCAGCAGCCACAAACTGGTGCATCACATACAGTTAGCTGCAGCAGCCACCAACTGGTGCATCACATACAGTTAGCTGCAGCAGCCACAGACTGGTGCATCACATACAGTTAGCTGCAGCAGCCACCAACTGGTGCATCACATACAGTTAGCTGCAGCAGCCACGACTGGCATCACATGCGCTTCGGTTGCAGAAGCACAGACTGGTGCATCACATACAGTTAGCTGCGCAGCAGCCACAGACTGGTGCATCACATACGTTTGCTGCAGAAGCCACAGACTGGTGCATCACATACAGTTAGCTGCAGCAGCCACAAACTGGTGCATCACATACAGTTAGCTGCAGCAGCCACAAACTGGTGCATCACATACAGTTTGCTGCAGCAGCCAGACTGGTGCATCACATACAGTTAACTGCAGCAGCCACAGACTGGTGCATCACATACAGTTAGCTGCAGCAGCCACAGACTGGTGCATCACATACAGTTTGCTGCAGCAGCCACAGACTGGTGCATCACATACAGTTAGCTGCAGCAGCCACAGACTGGTGCATCACGCCTGAGTTAGCTGCAGCAGCCACAGACTGGTGCATCACATACAGTTAGCTGCAGCAGCCACAGACTGGTGCATCACTACAGTTAGCTGCAACAACCACAGACTGGTGCATCACATACAGTTAGCTGCAACAGCCACAGACTGGTGCATCACATACAGTTTGCTGCAGCAGCCACAGACTGGTGCATCACATACAGTTTGCTGCAGCCATCAACTGGTACACTACATAAATACATTCCGCACTGAGTCAGACTTAACGTGGGCATGTGAATTTTCTTTCTTGTTACCTTTCATATGGGTGTTTTCTTGACTCACCTAGTGTACAACTGGATGAAGCTCACGATTTGACTTATTGTGAGACGAAAGTGATGTGGGTAACTTCGTGAATATTTTGAGGACAATTTTTAAAAATATTGCATTAGAATTGATTACGGGCTCGTCACTGCTTATTTTAGACTTCATTGTAAGACAGAGAATTAATTTCAAGATAAATTGTTCCACTTGTCTCCATGGAGGTTCAAACACGTGTTGCAAAATTCACATTTGCCCAAGTTGGCCTCTGCAAGCTGGGTGAGAGGAATGGCAATTGTTGAAGAATTATGGTAGTGGTGATCATTATGATGATTCTTGAAGAGAATGGGTAAACAAAACAGATCGGCGTGAGTTAGTGGGTTCCTCGATGTTGATTGTATGAATTCCTCCGCTCCCAAACAAGCGACGTCACATAGGGTCCCCTTGAGAAGCCACAGAAATATCTTCTTGTGAAGGGCTAACTGATGTGTGATTTTAGCATTGATTCATCATCCCTAATGATTGTTACTATATATACATCTCAGAACTGCTAGTATCTATTTTTCTTAATCTCTACGTGCATTAGTATGTCTGTGTGTGTATGTGCCTTAGGAATATGTTTGTATGGAAACTGTGGTTGGGACCTTGTATAGGAAGCTTAAACCAGACTCTATATCCCAATTAGTTTTAATCTATGTTCAGTGTTCATAGTCCGATTGCATTGAGTTCATATTTTGTGATTTGTAGTTGCCAATTTTGAATAAGGCGTTAATAAATGAAACATGTACTAAGACAAGACATTTTATTACAACCTTCATTAGAAAATACTTTAATGCAGTTTAAGGATGTGTGCATCTGAAAGAATGTTTTTATAGGAAGTATTTTTGAAAGATTTACTGTATTTAATACAGTATGAGAATTTTATTGTTTTGGGAGTCCTGGAAATTTTATTTATTTTCTGATAAATGTTACTGCTCAGTTAATTTTGTTTGTTTCATTTATAAAAGTTCAGTGCAGGTTGAAACTCCCATATCCAGCAACCATTGGACCAGCAGACGGATACAAGATACAGTAGTATTACCATTATGTCCATGTATTTAGAAGGTCGTATTTCTTATGCAGTTATAACCTGTATATACTGTATGCCTGTACCTGTATACATACACACTGTATATTATATAATTTCTTCTTTAGGGCTTTAGTTGTAAAATCTCAATTTGCTTTTTGATGTTTGGGAGCCATGGTGTAGTTCAAGAAGAGTAGAATCAAACTGCAACACTTAAATAAGTGCACTACCACCCTCAGCTGTGAATTCAAGCAAATAAAATGAATGTTGGGAGTGATTGGCATGCCACCAAAACATTAGTGGCCAACAGGTAAACTACGAGACGCTGCCGCTCGATGGGAGGTTTGCGAGTAATAGAAATTCTGTTCACGTTACCATCTAACCACACGTTCTTTAGGAGGTTTGCAGGGTGATGGAACAATCAAACTTCTTCATCATCATCACTGTTTTACGCCCATTTCTATACTTGTACAGGTTAGTAATATTAACTTAATGGTAGTTCTCTGAACTGCACTGTGTCCTGCCATCTCGTCAAGTTGTAATATGAGGTCACTTCTCAGTTCTCACAGCCCTCTCTCCATGCCATTCTTGGCCTACCTAGCTTCCTTTCTCCTTCAAACTCATACATCTCTTGACCCAATTAATTTCCTCCATTATCTCCACATGCCCAAACCACCATAGCTTCCCTCTACTAAAAACCTTGCCAATGCATATACCCAGCCACCCCTAACTCCTAATCTCTCAGCGTCATCATACGCGTTGATCTCACCACTGCCATTTCAGCTCACTTAAGTCTACATGAATTATTATCCATGTTTCATTGCCATATAACTAAACACTTCTCATGCGGTTTGTACTACTTTCTTTTCAAGCAAGGTGAAGGTCCTATTGCAATCTAACAAAGACAACAGCTTTATAATCTTCTTCCAGCTACTTCTGAATTTTGCAAGTGAGCTAGAGTCAG